TAGTAGTATAGATTGCAAGTTATGCACAACAGTAGATTGGAATGTGATTTTTTTTTTAATTATAGATGCATTGAATGTTTAGTTTATAGAAATGAGAAAAGTGTATATTTTAACCAGTCACCTACACTATGGAAAAATATGAACATCCCTGAGTGTTCTGTCACATTTTATGTATTAACAAGTTTAAATTCTGTTTGTTTCCTATTAATTTCAATATTCTAATTTAGAAAAATAAATAATCAGCAACTACTTGAGTAAATAATTTTTTAAAATAATAAAATTGGTATATTCAACTTGTAATATATAAAAAAAAAATTTTTGACTCTTAAGCAGCAATGAATATATCTTCAATATTGTTTAGACAGAAATTCTATATTCTAAAAGAGGTTTTCAATTTTTAGCAAATGCAGAATCTTCCAGTTCCTGTAAAACGCAGAATTAAAGCTTTGAAACAATTGCAATTAGTTACTACCAATATTGAAGCAAAATTCTATGAGGAGGTACATACATTGGAATGTGTTTATTACAACTTGTGTGCCCCTCTTTATGAAAAGAGGAGTGAAATAGTATCTGGCATTTATGAACCAACGGATGAACAGTGTGTATGGGAGAGTGATGAAGAGGAAGAGGGATTAACTAATGATTTGAAAACAAAAGTGAATCTCGAAGATGATAAAGAGCAAAAAAAAGAAGAGTATGCCTATTTTATTTTCATTAAGTGTTTACATTTGTTTTATTGTTCATTATTTAAGTTTTTATTTGACAATTAGTGTTTTCAATTTTTATTTTCCATTGTTATTTTGGTCACAGTGAAGAAGCACCTAAGACAGTATTAGAAAATAGAATGAATATACAGAATAGAACTGCATCAATGGAGCTCTTTAAAATATTTCTCAAGTACAAAGTTTTTTGTTGTTCTCTCAATTTCAATTATGAAAGTATATTAAATTCAAGTTTTATGCGTTAAGTAATTAAAGTTCACTTTTTTTTTTTTGCAATTACTGTTTTTTATACTGGATCAGTTTTTCATATGAATGCATAGTGTGAGAGACACCAAAACATTATATTAGCTACATTTCTATAAATTTTATTTTTATGGATACCAGAACAAAAACTACTATTTATACCTGCACTAATCTTTATTATAGCATCATAATATTAAGAGCATTGTTAATTTTAATCATTTTAGAGGTGAAACTGAAGATGTTAAAGGCATCCCAGATTTTTGGCTGACAATATTTAAAAATGTTGGAACATTAGCTGATATGGTTCAGGAACATGATGAACCAATACTCAAACATTTATACGATATTAAAGTGATATTCCTTAAATCCAACCCAATGGTAAGTTAGCAAACAACTGATTATTAAATTGCTTTACTCATATTTCATGATTTTATATGTGTAATTTAAAATGTGAAGTATAAATAGCAAAAACATAATGTTAAAGATAATGAGATTTTTGTAGGGTTTTGTTCTCGAATTCCATTTTGAGCCAAATGAATACTTTTCTAACTCAGTTTTAACAAAAGAATATATTATGAAGTGCACCCCTGAGAAAAATGATCCATTTAGTTTCGAAGGGCCTGAAATATACAAATGTAAGGTAAATATTAGCTCTTTAATTTAAGTTTGTTGTTCTTCATATCTGTATCAATAGAAGCCTGTTCAAGAGGTATTTTATATTTATTACACGTTCCTTCAAAATTATTCTCCACAGGGATGTGTAATTGACTGGAAGAAGGGGAAAAATGTTACAGTAAAAACCATTAAAAAGAATCAGAAACATAAATCTCGAGGGTCCATACGAACTGTAACGAAAACTGTTCGGAACGATTCGTTCTTTAACTTTTTCAGTCCACCAGTTGGTAAGAACAAATCTAACAGTTCCATTAGTTCACAGTTTCTTTCATATAGAAATTAATATATTCATTATAAATCATAAATTATTTTTTTAGTGCCAGAAGATGCAGAAGCAGAGTTAGATGATGAGACTCAAGCTTTGTTAACAAGTGATTTTGAAATTGGCCATTATATTAGAGAGCGTATAGTTCCTAGAGCTGTACTATATTATACAGGTATCTTTTATTGAAGAAAAGTTCATCTCATTGACAAAAGATTTAATTACATAAAATTTGATTGAAATATTCGGCAAGAAACTAATAATGGACAAAGGAAATGGTTATATTTTAGGAGAAGGTTTAGAAGACGAAGATGAAGATTATGAAGAGGAAGAAGGCGACGAAGACGATCCTGAGGAAGAAGACGAAGATGACGAGGAGTCTTCTCCTACTAATGCACCACCAGGTGGGAAACAACAGCGCACTGATCCTAATGAGTGTAAACAGCAGTAGAAGTACATACAAATTAAGCTAAGAAAAATTGTTCGTGCGTACAGTAAGCGACAACACACACACACACACACACACAAACACACACAACTAACTAAGGAAACTTGACCGGTAACTGCCTAGATAATCCCGCACCTGTGGCTCCAACATAATCCTGTTCGTATCAATTCATCTAATCATATCATATCTCCTATTCCAGATCAAGCCTAAACTCTTCAACATACCAGTGACAAAATTATGTGTACCCTCCCTTTATCCGACGTTGACGATGAATAGAAATACGGCTCATTAACAGCTAAGATCTACAAATAATGTCATATAAGTATAAACGATTGTGCTCTCAGCTCTACATAATCATTGTAATTTTTAATTGTTTCATTTTATACTATTGTTACGTTTATATACAAACAAGAAAGTTAGTTGAATTTTTTTCAAAACGCACGTTGATCTATGGACAAATTTTTCGGTACTGTTAAAGCATTTTTAA